AAAGCTTACATAATCATACAGTTCGTATAGTGCGGCCAGGCTCAGGGTTTTCAATATACTTCCTGGAGTAGTACATATAATCCATGATCAAAATGACCATGACATAACCCAGGAGCAATCTCGTGTGCACACAATCTGTTGAAAGAAGTCATGGGTTGATACTCTGTAATGACAGTTGTCATCTTAGTGGCGCAGTGTATCACATCCCTGATGTTTTAGATTCACGTTGTTGCATCAAGGCCGGAGGGGAGCGTGAAGTCTCGTTAGCGTGTCTGTACTGTCTTGGATGATAGGGGCAGGGCTGGATTCAGGAGTGGGCAGCTGCCCAGGGGCCTCCACAATCTGGGGGCCTCAACATATTACAATATTTTATTTATTTGTTTATTAATTTGGATTATTTTTATTTTCATTCTTTGAAATTCATGTTTATCTATTCCATCACGTAAAACTATGTTCAGCAAGAAGCGTGTTAGAAATTAGGCGAGCTACTCCTTGAAATTCATGAATACCTGGTTTTCCTGTGAACCGTATATTTTTAATATAACTGCATATGGCTTCAAAATTCTCCAAAGACGTCTTCAAATTTCAAAATTTTCCCGGAACTCCCAGATGTTTAGGTTCGCTTCACTCGCCACTCCACCCTCTTGGATAGGGGATTCCGTCGTTCATTGTGGACGTAGACAGCTCTTCCCAGTGTGTCAAGAAACCCATCGCAGTAGACAAGGAGTGGAAGGTACTTTAGGTGCCGTGGGGGTTTACAAGAGAGGAGAAGGTAGCGTCGATTTTTGCTGGGCAGATAAGTTACCGGTAGGACTTTGGTACAAACCTGCGACACATAGAACTGATGTCAGCTTCACGTTAATTTTCTTATATGTAGGATTACAATTTTTATATCTGTATATTGAATATTGCGTTATTGATTATTTTATGGATTTAAGGAGTGAACGTTTCCAGCGGAATCTAACTACTTATTCACCGTTAGATTAAACAAAGTTGTTTCCCATTGTTGGCAAGAACGAAAACTGGCGGCGGACGGCCTGCCAATAGGTGCCATAAGAAAATGAATGTGCCTGACTTTTTTTTTCATTTAGTATTATAGCACATTAGCATAGGATTTATGAAAGGTAGACTTTTCACATCTGAGGCGAACACCTGCTATGGCATCAAATCCAAAATAGCTGCCATTGCTTTCGGTGAAATAAAGATAATTACTTAAACGCTCAGCTTCCTCCTGTGTCAGGTGTTTGGGTTTAGTAGATCGGTGTCGGGGAAATACAATACTGTATTCCGGCAGGGATTGTGTTCGTGCGTGCATGCGTTTGTTTGACCAGGGTGGTTTGTGTTGTACTGCCAGGTGAGGACACACACACACCCTCGTTTACCTGTATTGGCGTATCAGCAAATTGAACATTGGTCGGGATTATCGCCAGGTATTGGTTAGTGTGGAGGGGCGTCGTTACAACCATTGTTGTAACGTCATACTGTACACGGGTTGACAGATAACCCACATTCATCACCGATCATAAACTCTCTTCTAAATTGTTACATAATTAAATCTCATATATACGTGCTATGAATTAAGTGAAATAAACAATAAATACAACTATATTTACATCTATTTGCAGTACAAGACTTATGCCAAAGTGACAACCCGGGCAAAATAGTGCACACCTAAATGTTCTTAAGGGACTGTAATTATTATTATTTCATAATCTTGATGTTTGTCATTATTTTAATTAAAGTTCTTGCTGTTTTCACTATCACTATTTTATATTTCTTTATTTGATTGTATAATTACATGACTGCGGAAAAAATATTGATCTGGTTGGAGTGACTCATGATATGTAGTGTAACATCTATTACACACCTGTGTGAATGACGCATCACACATCTTTATCTTACACCTGTGCAAGTGACGTACCGCGTGAGAGACAAGTGTTTTCTTAATTTTTCATCTTTGGTGTCGATGAGTATATACAGTAGTGTATAATGCTGTCTACAATGTTGGCTTAAAGGAACCTTGCGGGAAGTGTGGGCAAATTTCTATTGAGGGCGGAAGTGATCTGATAATAGTAATGAGGAAAGTGCCACGTATAAGATTCTATGCAGTGGTTGTCCTGTTACGTACTATGGGGAAATATCAAGAGGTGTAGGGACTAGAATCAATGAACATAAAAGTGACATAAGGAACGACCTTATATTAAACTCGTGCTTCACGTTGACAGCCATGGACACCCGTCAAAATGGGAAGATATGTGACAAAAGAATAAGAAAAGAAAACATCAAATCATTGGAAAGGGTTCGTGTGCTTGGCCAAGTAACGTTGGGAAACTTTGGTGAAATATTTTATAAGTTCAGTTTGTTTCCTAATTGAAACTCGACTTTAACTATATAGGTAAACTTAGCACCTATTAAGAGTCAGTATTGTCACCCACAGACACAAAACACCGTGTCAGTACCAACCAAACCCAGTGACGTGACATTTCACTCAAGCATTTCCTTCACTCTGTTGCCAAGCGGATTGCCAGAACGGCTGACGTTAAATTTTCCTACTGATTGTAGTCGTGAGGATGTGTGTGTCAGGGCCGGATTCAGGAGTGGGCAAAGTGGGCAGCTGCCCAGGGGCCTCCACAATCTGGGGGCCTCCACATATTACAATATTTTATTTATTTGTTTATTCATTTGGATTATTTTTATTTTCATTCTTTAAAATTCATGTTTATCTATTCCATCACGTAAAACTAGGTTCAGCAAGAAGCGTGATAGAAATTAGGCGAGCTACTCCTTGAAATTCATGAATACCTGGTTTTCCTGTGAACCGTATATTTTTAATATAATTGCATATGGCTTCAAAATTCTCCAAAGACGTCTTCAAATTTCAAAATTTTCCCGGGGGGCTTACAGCTCCCCCCGGAACTCCCAGATGTTTAGGTTCGCTTCACTCGCCACCCCACCCTCTTGGGTAGTTATAATGAGGGGGGCCTCCACAAAGAGGCTGCCCATGGGCCTCCATAGGTCTAAATCCGGCACTGGTGTGTGTCTAGCATATTTCAAGTTGCAGCACAAACATGGCAACCAAAATGATATGGAAATTGCACTGAGTTGTTGTTTTATTATCCCGAGTATTAACCGAAGGTAGGTAGTAGGCAAGTACCAAACAGGGAGGTACTACTGCCTGGGAAGATATTGGAAGCATAACGTGTTGTCTAATGGTAGACCCTACTGCCATATGGCATCAGGAAAATTGTGTCCAAGTGCCAGGTTGCTGATCTGACTTTCTGCCTCATTTACACAATTGCAGGGTCTCAATTGTTTCTCTTACTTGACAACACAACATACATATTGTATAGCGTTTCCCACCATTGATTTTTGTTTTCATTTTTGTATTTCTTTGTAGTTTATTATTATTATTATTATTATTATTATTATTATTATTAGTTATTTTTATTATTGTTATTATTTTATTTTTTTACTATAAATTTTATTTACTATAAATAATTATTACATTTGCGCCCCCCAGGCCCCGATGTGCGTCGGTGACCTGTGCCCGGGTGGGCTAATCCCCTAAAAAAAAAATACTGTACAATGCAGTATAATAGTTTTCTCGCTAGTGGTGTGAGTTATTACACGTTTTTGCTAGTGGTGCGAGTTATTAAAACGTTTTTGCTAGTGGTGTGAGTTATTACACATATTTGCTAGTGGTGTGAGTTATTACACGTTTTTGCTAGTGGTGTGAGTTATTACACATATTTGCTAGTGGTGTGAGTTATTACACGTTTTTGCTAGTGGTGTGAGTTATTTCACGTTTTTTGTTAGTGGTGTGGATTATTACACATATTTGCTAGTGGTATGAATTATTACACGTTTTTTGCTAGTGGTGTGAGTTATTACACGTTTTTGCTAGTGGTGTGAGTTATTACACGTTTTTTGCTAGTGGTGTGGGTTATTACACGTTTTTGCTAGTGTGAGTTATTACACATTTTTGCTAGTGGTGTGATTACACGTTTTTTGCTAGTGGTGTGGTTATTACACGTTTTTGCTAGTGGTGTGAGTTATTACATTTTTGCTAGTGGTGTGAGTTATTACACGTTTTTGCTAGTGGTGTGAGTTATTACACGTTTTTGTTAGTGGTGTGGGTTATTACACATATTTGCTAGTGGTATGAATTATTACACGTTTTTGCTAGTGGTGTGAGTTATTACACGTTTTTGCTAGTGGTGTGAGTTATTAAACGTTTTTTGCTAGTGGTGTGAGTTATTACACGTTTTTGCTAGTGGTGTGAGTTATTACACGTTTTTTGTTAGTGGTGTGAGTTATTAAACGTTTTTTGCTAGTGGTGTGAGTTATTACACGTTTTTGCTAGTGGTGCGAGTTATTACACGTTTTTGCTAGTGGTGTGAGTTATTAAACGTTTTTTGTTAGTGGTGTGAGTTATTACACATATTTGCTAGTGGTGTGAGTTATTTATGTTCTTGCCAATAGTGTGATCTTAATGTATTGTTCTTCGTAATGTTGTGAACTAAATATTCAGTGTTCTTTGTAGTAGTACTGTGAGACATATAATTATGTTCCTTTCTAAATTGAAGTAAATACATGGTCTTCTTTTTAACGTTGTGATCTAATTATAGTGCAGTATGTTATATTATGACTTGCAATATTCCCACGTTCCCTCGCCCCTCCAGTCTAAGATAGTGTTCATAATGATTCATTCATTCTCTTTTCCAGTCAGTGACTCCGTTTAATCACAGGCAATAAATATGTATGTAATAAATATGTATGTACTAGTAAAAAGTTATGTGTAAGGTTGTTATCACTGACCCTTACTGAACTATGAAGAATAGATTGTTAAGAGTTTTACTGGTGAAGGAACACGGAACAAACGCATTAGTGTAATAGAGAGGTATATTAGTTGATTGTGGAACCTTACGTCATTGATATTGAGGGTTAGCGGGCAGTGTGCAGCAGTCACCCTGGTGGACTTTGCTGACTGAGATACAGCGGCCTAGCAGGACATACTGCACCTCTCGCCTCCACTGAATACGTGTCACCTCCTCACCCACTACCTACTCAGTTTTCTACCATTGTGGACTGCAGAACATGTGGCATAAAATATCATGCTAATGTAAAAGTGACTTTACTGGTAATTTTGTAATATACTCAAAGATTTAACGTTAGAGTCTGATTGCCGTATTTAATGGTTACTTACAGTATGCACCGTGTTTTAGGATGTTAAGTATCGTACGCTTGTGACTGCTTTATGAAACTAACATCCCGTTATAGTGTTCCGTTTATGTAAGGTGGGTGTTACCTGCTCTCATGCCAGACAAGGACACGACACAGAGAAAGAGGTAGGTTAGGGCGTATGTGATCTTGTTGCCTTGTACTCGCTTCCTCGCACTCATCACCTCTCGCTCCGATTCCAGTCAGTCGACTGTCCAGAGTCAAGCTGTGAGTGTTGGCTTAAAACGCAATGTTGGAAACTTTTGTTAAGACATTCAACAGCATGTGGGTTTTTTTTCCCGAGAATATAGTTTAATTTCAGAGCTAATCCATGGTAGAATTTTCTTTCGTTACATTACGATATCGTTGAAGGAAGATTTCAAGTGACTTACTTTGAATAATTGTCCATATATGTTTATATTGTGTTACCTCTGTTAGTACATAGAAGTGTTTTAAGTGATCTGCTCCATATAAGTTTACTATAATATGCAGTGTTTCAGAATTTAAACAATAAATAAAGGCAATCTTTGTGCGTGTTTGGCGATTATTATATGGCGCATAAAAATGAGTTATATTATGGGGTTATACAGTATACAAGACAGAGACGTTGTTGTGAAGGTATACAGTGTGTAAGATGTATGTGTTTATACAGTAGACAAGGTGCCGAGTTCTATCACATAGCCAGTGCACTAAATGAAGTAAGGACGGTATAGTATCTTGTCAATACCGTTCATTGTGAGGTGTTGTAAGCTCATGACAATAAGCAAGTGATGTGATTGGTTGTGGGAAGTGAAGTAAGTGTTTTACGTACAGTATAGGCCAAAATGTAAAACAAAATGAAGAATTTTTTATGTAAAAATAAAATACAGAATGAAGTGGAATGTTGTAAATGTCGCGCAGAATATGAAGTCACAGTAGGCTATAATGTGTACAAGTGCTCCGACATGCTTTTATTAAGAGTATATTGAAGTGCTTTAAAAGTTTTAAGAGTATTACTGAAAGGAGTTTTGGGTGTATTGATGATAAACGAGAAGTTGCTCACTGCGTTGGACACCCCTCTGAAGTTACTTTAATGATCTATTCACAGTTTACCAGACGAAGTACTGAGGCGAGTGGCGGTTGTGAAGAAAGAGGCAGGGAAATTGAAAGGCACGAAAACAGACTTCTTTGTGAAGAGATGAAGGCGTCTTATAGCACCGGTACGCGGTGTTACATGTGGATCGTTTAAAGCTTTTAATGGTAGATTTTTGTCCGAGTGGGGGACTAGGCATGTGGGTATTACTCGTAATTCGGAAATAACAAAACAAGTAGAGTTTTAAACAACATATAGAAAATAATTTGAAAATATAACTTTAAAACCTACAATATGAATTAAAACCATATATATGTAATCAGCGGGTAACATAATCATTACCTACTACATCATTCTACATGGAGTACATAAAAAGCGATGTTCAAATCCTCAAGACTGGGTGTACAGTAGGTTGATCAAGCACATGTGCCGAGTGCTCATTGGCAGCATCCTACGTGATAGAAACTTGTTCATCATCAAATTTCATTGTAACGGGACGACATTTTGCTTATATCTAACTGAATGTTCCTTTATACACATGAATTCGAATCTTCCGCGGGGATTTTTGAAATTATCAATATGTAATTATCCCCCAAAACGGGCGGCAGATGCCGTGACCATGAAGACCCCGCCCTGACCCGAGGCTTGGGAGGACCTACAGTATACGACCCTGGAAACCCAAGGTTGCTACTAAAACTCTCCTTCCACGGTGTGCACCATACCATTTATTTATTAATATTAATATTGAAGATTAGATGAATGAATAAATAAATAAGAATCAATTATAATAATAGAATACAGATGTACAGTACTCGGAATTCAAGAAAATTCACCAGGAAGATGACACGGATGAGAGTTAAGGTGGCGAGGGCGTGGTCAGTGCTTGAGGTACTCAGCAGGCGTAAACGTGAAGGTGTGCGGACGAGGGCAGTGCACAAAATAGCATAGTAATTAAGAGACGGCTAAGTATTTGTTCATGAATCGTATGTTGCTGAGAGATACAGTAAAAAATATTTACAGCTATTGTTTTTTGTTTTGGTACTTAATTTTTTTTTATAAACGTGAAATGGAAGTTATTAACTATAACAGCAATTTATTTATCAAGGTAACGTAAACTAATATTTGTTACACAGGTAATGGAAAGTTTACAGTAGACGCTCTAGTCCTACGAGGCCCAAACTTTAACACATTCCCGCGTATATTTTACTTTGCGTATGCGTGATCAGTACCTCGAAATGATTCATTTTCAAATATTTCTATTATCTGAGATACCTATCATTAAGTTAGATATGGATGACCTTCGTAGATATCACGGTAGTGTTTCGTGTGTGTGTGTGTGTGTTAATACAGTATTACCATTCAAATATTAATAATTAACTTTATTGAAAGAACATGGCAGCCAAAATGCTGAAAATATATAATAAACGGAGATGAAAAAGTTACCTAATTGTTGAGTGGGTCACTTGATTGACAAGTAGCCTGAAAAAAACAAGTGTTATTAGTGGTACAAATATAATATATAACAATTTCAGCACAGTTATAGTACCAAAGTGAGATTGGCAGGGAGTGAACACACAGGTTAACTACGAGTTGATAATTTTTGCCGTAGTTGGAATTGGGCTGTTCTTATAGCGATTGTACGTGGTCGTGTGGGCTTGATATTATGTGGAGTAGGATTGGGAGAGAATAATCTTGCACTCGTTCTAGGAGTGTGCGTGTGTTTTGTTTTGTTTACTAATTTCCATTGGCGTGAGTTGAAAGACAGAGTCCAATAGGAACATAAGTTGGAGCCTGTGACGTATCATCCTAAAAATAAGTCGGAAATTTGTCAAGGTGATAGCTGACATCCTACCCAACCACAAACCTAACAATCTGGATTGGTTGTGTACATTAATATTGTATCCCAACTAGTGGTCTGTGAATCTCCTTGTAAATTTATTTATATTGCTCGCTATAAGATGGATTCTGTTACTAGAGATTTGATTCTGTCTCGGCGTGTTTATCTTATTTACAATAAGTTCGATTCTATGCCCTGGGCGTTATTTTATGTGCAATAGCTTATGTATAATAGGTGCATTCTTAAATGTTCACTTAGGAGGAATATTCAACTTACAAACCTTTAAGAATATTGAAGGGAAAACTATTTTGACAAGACATTTAAAACTTTATATCTTGATGTTACACTTTAAATGTACTGTACCGTACCATGGGCATACTTGGGATTTCATTAAAAACAATTTTATTCGCTGTGGTGATAGTTTCAAATTGCCCTTTTCTTATTCGCATCAGTGATCTTTTCTACTTTTATCTTCTCACCACAGATCGGCTCGTTAGCCTATTGGGTGATCGGTCACGTCTCTGTTACTTTTCTTTTTCTTTTGTCCTCTTCACCAAATGATCGGCTCGTTAGCCGCTTGGGCGATCGGTCACGTCTCTGTAGCACACTGTTGGCAAGTACTGGGCATGCACCGGCTCCTGAATGTACATGAACCTGCTCCACTGTTGGTCAAGTCTGGTCTTGAAAGAGCTCACACTCAATGTTTAATTGTTAATTCTATTTAGCGCAAGGATGGTTAAAAATGGCATTCACTTGTTTAAAGTTAAAACGTGTATTTTTGATAATAGATGGTTAATATTGGGGTTGTACTTCAGATCATTCAATAGATCAATACATTATGAATCTTTAACATAATGCGTTTAGGTACAAACTCCACTTCTGGCCGTGCTGTATAAACTCTGCTCATATACTCCATCTTATTCTTCCACCTCCCTCATTCAGAGCTTAAACATTATCTTTATTTTTAAAAGGTTGATTGTTGTCTACTTTACATTAAAAAAACACGAAGCTATAGAGTATCTAATTTAATTTGTTAAACTTACTGTCTGGTGTAGAAAACTGTTTAATAACTTACTCTAAAGCTTCGAAAACAATGACACAATAACCACCTCGGGCCGTCCCCATACGTCACACACACACACACACACACACACATATCAACTGACCATTACTCATCAACACAACAGTCATATGATCGTGCTAGTTGGCATTACTCCTCGCTTACTCTCCCATTTGCCAGTGCGTGAATTACGATGTTAGTGTTTTTAATTTTATTTTATAATTTATTGTTGTTGACGTTTTTGTTGGATGTTTGTTTGTTTGTTTAAAGAGCAAAAGCCCCTAGGACAAATAATAAGAAATTGTTAAATACCCTGTGCTTATTTTTAATCTTTATTATTTACAGTTTATTCAATTCAATTTCAATTGTTTATTCCTTGATAGAGGAAGCGGGATCCTAGTGCTGTCACAAGGTACCCCTGTACAATGACACCAGAAGCATCTAGCAAGTGTGACAAGTATATACAGTATAAATATTATAAAGGGGCTTTCTAAAGCCTAAGGAAGGAAGGATGGATATTCCTTTAACACATAATCAATGTTATTAACATAGTATCTGGCCAGTATGGGGAGGATTGGTTCACACTCAGGATGGGATGGAGAAAGGAAACTCACAATGTGCTCACTGTATACATATTGTATTGGATGTACAATGCAGCTTGTTGCTGGGTAGGTAGCATGGTAATACCGTAAGCGTTGAGTAGAGAGAGCTGGGTGGTGAGGGTGCCCAGAGTGAGGGCACGCGGCTTGAGGGACGCCAAGGTCGCTGGCGGGAGCGGCAGCCGCACGACTGGTGCGGAGGAAGTGTTGCTTGCTGGTGGCACTGGGTAGAAAGAAGAGACTGGTCACAGCGGTGTCAGGCCTTATAAGGCGGGGGTAGGCGTGGGTAGATAGTTGACCCCCGCTCCGTGGGTGGCGCTGGAGGCGTAGGCTGGGGAATTCGAGGTTCGGT